GTGCATTGGGATGGCCTGGCCGTGCCTGGGGGGCGTTGCTGGGTCACACACTGCTCAGGGGTTCTGCAAGTGGTGTCACCGTATTTTCTGTTTGTTATCCGTTCTGAGGAAGTTGTGAAAAGTTATCCGCAAAACAATTTTGAAACACAAATTTCTTTACCTATAAGTGTCTCAAATCTGATCACCTGGAACGACGGCAAGCCCTTGTGGGAAAATGCTACAGGCACAACATTACGAAAGTCACACAGTCAGTAGCAAAGGGTGAAATAGTATTTATTCTCCTAAAGAACCCTGTTTTGGAAACAGCATTCCTCTTAATAGCACGCCTTCACGGTGTGTGCATAACAGCGCACGTTTACCCTGGGCTTTGGGCAAACACAAACCCAGCGGATCCGCTGTGGCTCCCAGTTCACCCCAGCAGCAGACATCCGTTTGGTTGAGGCTGGGAGTGATACCGCAACTTTATATTGTTACTTTATTTCAGAGCCTAACGGTTTTGATGGGTCTTTTTTTACCTTAAGTGTGATTCTTGCCTGTCAGCTGCTTAGACACATGTCCCCCTGCTACGTGACTGCAACCCTGGGCAAGTAACTTTCTCTGGACCTCAGGGCCCTCATCTGTAAATCCAAGGGGTTTGTTGGGATTTCTTTTCACTCTAGTATTGTGGTTCTGATGTTCCCATTTGTTTTATTTAGCCTTCAGCTTTCCCGGGGGCGACTGAATAACCAGTGACCCCACAGTTCATTTTCAAATACACACGCAAGTTGCTGCTTTGATCAAGCAGCTGTTTCACGAAGGGGGATTCTTTCCTTGGCTGTTACTTGTGGGAGACTGAGCGATCGTCTCGTGCCCTGAGCGCCCTGGACCTGTGGCCGACGACGTCCGCGGGACGCGGAACTGGTGGAAACGGCTCACACTGCACTTGGTCTACATATCTTGTGTTTTACTGTCCACAGAATGAATAATGGTCCTGTTTTAGGACATGAAGAGGAAGTTGGGAGAAGGACAACCTTCCGACTGTTTTATCCAGAATCTGTTTTTTCAGATCCCAAACACAACGATCCTAACACCACGGCGATTCTCACGGCTTTTAAGCCGCACGATTTAAAGTGGCTGTGGGAATTGCTGACAGGTGGCAAAATAGTAAGTTGGTAAAATCGATCTCCCTTCCGATTACTTTCATTTTTCCCCCCATAACAAAAGACAACCACATGTTTCATTTTCTATATTCTTGATTTATTTCAGAACACTAATGGTTTTTGGAAGAAACCAGCTTTAAACCTGATCTATAAACCCTATCAAATCAGAATATTAGATCCTTTCATCATCAGAACGGCAGCTTATGAACTGCTTAATTTCCCAAAAGTGTTTCCCAAAAACCAGGTACGTATTGTTCTTTGCACGCTTTCAAACGAGAGGTCTGGCTGGAGGAGCACGGGAACCCTGGGGGTCTCGCCTGAGTTAGTGAAATTAGATATCTGTGGATATTTTTGTGTTTCAGGTTGCAAGGAAGAGCCTTTAGTGAAGGTTTTGCTCTGCCCTTGTGGGGGCCCCATCTGCATGCCCAGTGCTCCTCTTGTAACCTCACCCCCCGCGGGGCTGGGGGTAGGGAGGCGGGGAGGGGCAGGCCGGGCTCTCGGCAGCCGGAGTTTCGGGGCAGCCTGGCTTCCCGGCTGAAAGGAGTGGTCTGAGGCACCGCGGCAGAAAGGCCACAGGAAAACCAGAGGCCGGGCAGTCAGGTGGTCCAGAAACACTTCTTCAGTCACGGAGGAGAGACTGGCACTGAATTCTCAGGAAACGGTAGTTACAGCAGTTTGGACAGTTCTTGAAACTCCCACTCCTTTAATTAAAAGAAATCTCACTGACTATGATTTTTGCAGCCCTGTTTGTCTACAACCCCTAGGAGACAACAGTGTCTAGATCTGTAGGGTGGCAGATGTTTTACACTTGAAATCTGAGTAACTGTGTAACATGCCCTCGCGGCTGAAATGAGGGCTTTTCTTTCTCTTTTTGTAATGAGGGAAAACCCCAAGAAACACGTATCATGTATATTTTCTTTAGTACAATAAAAATATTCTAAAGTACTACATACTTAAAGTCAAATAAGTTACAAAGGAATATTTTAAAAAGGGCATCCTTCTCTTCCCTCAGTCAGTCACTCACATTATCTCCCAAGGTTTTTTGCCTTTTATATCCTTTTAGACTTTCCCATGCATTTACAGACACACACACACACACATTTTGTTTGTTCAGTATAACTGCAGTTATACCATAGAGAGTGTTCTGCTACTTCTCCCCTCCATCTAATTAATGATTCTCCTATTTAGAGACATTTAGGTTTGTATCCAGCTTTTTCTTCTATAAATAACATAGACATGCATGTGCTAACAGGGATTTTCTGCACACTTGTGTGGTTTCTATAGGTTAGACGCCTGAAAGTGAGATTCCCAAGTCAAAAAACATAAATGTTTTAAGTTTAAACTGTTTCTTAGTATTGAAAGCGCAGATTCGTAGTAATTCTGTGGTGAAAAGGACAGCTTCTGAAAAGTCAGTTATCTTCCTAAGAGACGTAAGATCAGATTTACCTCTTTTATATATATGTGTGTATATATATATAAATTTATTTCAGAGAGAAAGGGAGAGGGAGAGATAGAAACATCAGTGATGAGAGTCATTGATCGGCTGCCTCCTGCAGGCCCCCCACTGGGGATCAAGCCTGCAACCCGGGCATGTGCCCTGACGGGGAATTGAACTGCGATCTCCTGGATCCTAGGTTGGCACTCAACCACTGAGCCACACTGGCCGGGCTATCCCTTTTATTAAAAGATTTTTAAGATTCTGAGAGAGAAGGGAGAGCGAAACATCCATCTTCTGTCTCCTGCACACCCCCCACTGGGAATCCAGCCCACAACCAGGGATGTGCCGACCGGAAATGAACTGGCAACCTTTCCGCGCGCAGGGCGATGCCCAACCAGCTAAGCCACGCCGGCCAGGGTGTTACTTTATTTTTTTGTTTTAGGGAGCATCTTAACTCCAAAAGCACAGGAAGACCCGGGTCTGCCTTCGAGATGGTGGTAGAACTAGTAACTAGATTGAAGTTCTGGTAGGACGTGGGGTCCCAGAAGCCAGGTGAGGTTACAGGGTACTTCAGAGAGGTCCCCATGTCACGACACCATGCAAAGGGTGAGCACAAACAACAGACCCTGGCTCTGGAGACACGGAGGTCCTCTGAGTGAGCAAGGAAGAAAACCTGTTTGAAGTGGATTAGAGAGAATGTGGGACGCAAGCCAGAGGCAGATCTGTAGCGGGGTTTTGCTAGAAAAGGCAGCAGAAAAATGGTTCGGAGAGAACACAGGGTCAAGGGCCGTGGTTTTTAAAGAGAGACATGCTTGTGTGCTGAAGGAAATGACTCAATAAAGAGAAATATTGATGATGAAGGGGAAAGGTAGACAACTGTAGAAGCAAAGTAGCTGAGAGGTGGGAAGTGTGGTGCCTCGGGGAGAAGCTGGCTGTAGGGAGAAACGGGTACCTCGCCCCTGTAGGGGAGCGAGCACTGGAAACCTGGGTCGAGAGGAAGGTAGAGTTGGAGCTGGGAAGGCGCTGTCGGCTCTACGTGATTGTTTTCTGAGATGAGAACTGAAGTAGGGAGGCGGCTAGGGCTGTGGGAGGGTAGGGGCACAAAGGGATCATCTTGGAGCGGCCGGGTGGAAATTTACTGGGGGAATGTAACTGAAAGTCTACCTGAGACGTTGGTCAAAAACATGACATGGAACCAGGCAGGTATGTTTTCTCTTGCTCTGTAACTGCTACTTGGGTGTGGCTTTCGCCAGGATTGAGACTGTCAGACGGTCATACAGGTTCTGTGGGCGGCAGGTGCAGAACTGACGGTTTCTGTAAGGGAGTGATGAGGAGGCGCTGAGGTGTGATGAAAGCGAGTACAGGACATGCACAGGTACAGGAGAGGGAAACAGTGACGGGGTGACCCTTAGGTTTTATTATTTTTTATTTTTCTAATCACCCAAGTAGATGCTGAGAGAGAGGAAGGGAGAGGCAAAGGGAGAGAGAAACACTGACCGGTTGCCTTCTGTACGCACCCCAACCAGGGGCTGAACCTGACACCCGGGCCTGTGCCCTGACGGGAATCGGACCAGCAGCCTTTTGGGGCACAGGACGCTCAACGAACCGAGCCACTCAGGCCAGGCTAACTGCCGGGTTTTACTCAAACCATTAACGTCCTTTTCCAGCATATGGTGTGGGCTTGTGGAGTCACAAGAGTGCAGGGGGTAAAGAAACACAAAAGGCTGCTCGGCTTTCTGTGCCTCCTGTTGTCTGCTGGTTTTATTGCGCTGCTTTGAATCCCCCCTCCCCCCCAATCATACTTAATCACATGTAATTTCTATGGGATCTGTAAAAAAAACACATTTAACTCTAAGGAAATCTAGAATTGTTGTGATAAAACTTTGATATACTTTGTTCAGGCCTTTGAAGACCATCTTACTGAGAATTAAAACTTTGAATGCCAAGATCCTCCTGTCAAGCAGCTGTTACGGCATTTTTCTGAATATATGTATATGTGAAGGAGATATGATTTGTTCTTGTTATTAATAAGGATCCAGTTGAGACTGTGATGTTACTTTGTACATATCTAGAATCCTTGTTTTCTAGTCAGATATTTAGTTGTACAATTTATCACTGAAGTTACCTGGTGTTAAAGTTAGTCTTTCCCTAAGCTAAGTAAGATTTTTTTAAGATTAGGCCACCCAAATATGCTATGGAAACAACTATTTCATTTGGATTTTTAAAAGAATTTTTTCTTTCCCCAGAAACCCAAACACCCGACGACGGGAATTATTGCCATCACGTTGGCCTTTCACATGTGCCACGAAGTCCACCTCGCTGGCTTTAGATACAACTTTTCTGACCTCAGGAGTCCTTTACACTACTATGGGAACGCCACCATGTCCTTGATGAGTAAGGTAACGTACACACTTGAGTTTTAGAGCTGGAAAACCTATTTTCTCTCCTCTGACCCTGTCATTTTACTGAGGGAAGAGCTTTTGAGAGACTGAGGGCGTGAGAGGGTGTTACAGCGCTACCAAGTGCCGAAATTAGGACTCGACAGCAGAGCTCTTCTTACTGCAGCAGCAAGTCCCACTGTGTGGGCCTCAGACCCTTGGGAGAATCTCCGTTACTGTCAAGTATTGACAAAGCCCTGTAGGGACCAAGCCTTAACCTAGATACTGTATCCTGTCTGCATGATTTAAACACACATATGGACAGCCTACTGTTGGAGATACTACACATTCACCAAAAAGCACTGCCATGTCCATAGTAATTATTTTCATGTATTCTTTCAGTTAAGCAGATAAGGTCTATAACATTTTAACCCCACGAAAATCTTTATGGTCAGAAAGGCTGTCATCTTATACTGGCTCATGTTTCTCTTGAGTTTAGAGATCAATGGTAGTCGATTGAGTCAGATTTTTATTTTAATTGACTGGGAAGGGGTTTGCTCTTTTCTGAATTCGAACTTAGATGAGTAGCACATCACAAATGATAAGATTAAAATGTTATCTAATACAAATGATTTGCTATAAAGTATCCCATGAAATCAGTCCCCTTTGCTATCCCAATGCTCTGTGAACTGAAGAGGCGGTGTTATTCAGGGTACATCTTAATACTAAATTGTGCCCTCTCCTCAACGTAAGGCAAACTCCTGCGTAGTTGAAGAGCTAGGTGCCTGGGGCAGACTTCATGCTCGTTTCTCCTCAGCCCTAATCTTTCCTGTAGCACATCTGGTATTTCTAGTCATCTAAAGAACACATTATAACACCTTCCTAAGGAAAATTAGGATACCCATCAACAGAGTAATTTTTTTAAACATGAGTTCCAGGTGACGCTTTTATTAAAGTTTACAATTTTGGTTTCTAGACTTCCACCGAGATTTGGCAGACCAGGGATGATGTGAGTCACCCTCTTACCTATATGATGGTTTAAGTGGAAAGAGTGAGTTTTAGGGAAAGCTCTGGCACAAAAATGAGCAAGGGAAAATAAATTAGGTTCACACAAGTCAAATCCTCATTCCAAAGCTTTTTAGATACAGCCCATTCTGTTGCTACTTGAGCGGGGGCTAAACGGTGGTTTTATTTTTATCTTCTAGAATGCGTATCACAATGTGACTGCAGAGCAGCTCTTTTTGAAGGACATTATAGAAAAGAACTTTGTAATCAACTTGACTCAAGATTGACCCTACAGACAGAGAAGATAATGCTGACAGTATGAGGTTTATTTTTGTACTGCAATTTTTAGTTTATTTTTAAATGTTGGATGTCCGTGTCAAGAAATTATGTATATTAAGCTGCCTGGTGATTCATAACCACCAGCTTATTTTCTGTGAATGTTTAATTTATGAAAACCAAGATATATTTAGTTACCATGTCAGGGAAGTAAGTAAAGTTTTAATGGAATTGTTTCTTTAAAGTATCTTTTTAGTTATTTCATTTTAGACTTTTGAAGGGATGTGACTTCCTAATGACACATTTGGCTACTGTAAATTGGTGGGGATGTGGCAAACTGGCAGCACTTCAGGTCTGTGCCTGGCTGAGTTTTTAAAGTTTCTTTTTGTTCTATTTAAAGAACCTGACTTGAATTTTAAACCAGCCCTGAACAGAGCAGCATGGATGGTTATGGAAATCTAAGATCATACTGGTATAATTAGGCTCCCCTGCAATTAAGTAAACCACGATTATGATCAATTAGGTAGAATGAAGATGGTATTTTTTAAGTTGAAGGAAATAGGCTAAACGTGAAATAACGAAAGAATATAATTACTGAAGTCTGGTGACTGCATTATTTTAAAGAAATAGTTTATACAAAGCAGGTGAGTTAGGCAAGCTCAAGGAGAAAATTCTCAAACGTTGTGTTTTGCCTGCTTTAATTCATTAAATTTTAAAACTTCAGCATTTGAAGTAAATTAGGAAAGAAATAGACACAAGTAAGTAAACCCTTAAGAGTCAAGGTGATTTTGGATCTAGATGGCATTTTCCTCTCACCTGCACATAGAAAGCTTACCTGGCTACTTGGAATCAATTCTACAGGATGCAAACAAGCCACTCCTACCGCTGTGGTGAGCTGGTCTCCCTTCCCAGTTTAGTTAAAGCCTATGGTGGGGTGGGGATAAGTGAAGGAGAAAGGAAGTTACAAGCATGATGGAATTAAAAGCTATCAGAAGTATGCATTGAAAGAATACTTTTGAATCATTACCACTGGGAGACACTGATGTTACTGACAACCAACCTGCCTCCCTAGAGAAAGTGTAGAAAGGGTGAAATGTTAGACCAGAAACAGGAATAAATGAAGTACTTAGAAAGCGGGGTAAGGGGAGAAAACTACTAGTTGATTTTATGCTGATCTAGAAATTGAATATGGATGATGTTCTGTTAATAGCATACGTTTGCACAGGACCAGTTTCCTCCGAGTCTCCTAATCGTGTTGAGGCGGAAAAGGCAGGGGCGAGGCTGGCGTCCACGTGTTCAGTGGCCTTTCCCTCCTACCACACAGCCGGGGGCTGCAGCTGGCTGCTGAAGTTGTTTGATGTAACTCTGCTTCAAAAGATACTGTGGCTACAGAAAGTCAAAACCAATGGTGGCATTTCCAAATGTTACTGTGAGTACTGTAATACTGGCCATCAAATTTTCTGATGTTAAAATTCAGGAACCTGGCATTCTGTGTAGTATAAGAAAAGGCTACATACAAACCTCAAGGTGGTTATAGTTAAGCCAAAAAAAATAAATAAAAAATCTGAGCAAGACACATATACAATTTATTAAAAACACATGAACACATTAAAATCTCACTATTTATACAATCTAGATTCTAGCAACATATACAAATACTGAGTGACTACAGTACATGCCGAGGTAAGAAAAGTACATTCTGGGAGAATATCATGGACACTTAAGCCATTTTTACTTCCAATATGTTCAATACGTGTTTTATTTCCACCCTTCCCAGTGCCAAAAAAAGAGAGGAAAGATGAAGAAACTAATCACAAGTTGGATTAAATGGGATATTGGTACCACACTTGACCTAAAAAGTATTTTTATAACCATCTAGCTCTTACTTAGATTTTGCAGTTTAGGGACTTCAAGTTCAGAACTGAAAGGTAGAGCTAAAAGGTAATTTGTTTTTCAGGTAGAGCTTCATTCATTTCTCTTAAAAAGGTCTGGAAAGCATAATCTATTAGTTCTTTCTAATTGTATCACCTGCCATGGTGTTTCTATACCCCTTCTGCTCTCCCAGCAACACTGTGGACAAGTAAGTTCATGCTTTACCACTTTCCATACAATTACAGCTGCATTCATGTTTAGATGAGCTCATTTTCTGCTCCCCCTGTGGGAGGAAGGGCAAATATATACATAATGTCATCATTTCAATCACTGTATCAATTCTCTATGAACCGTTTCATCAGTGAACTAAACCCATTGTTCAATGCAAAGTGCAAATAGTGAAACATGAACTTAAATAACTGGACTAGACCCTGCATACAATAGGATCTATTTAGATTTACAGCTTTTAATAAAATATAAGTCGGCATTCACAATATCTTATCTCTAACTGTGCTGGTTCCTAAGATCAAGTAACAGCGAAGTCAGTGTAATTTTAGGAAACGAGAAATGGCCACACTTGTTGCACCATTGTCTGGTTCTATTTTTATAATTGTATTTACAGGAAAGAAATTAATCCAATAAACCACAGTGACTTAAGTCTTTTACATGTTTCAAGCAAAGAATAACAATTCAAGGAAATTTTGTAAAAAATGGTTACTTTCACATTTTCAGTTGTTACTTGATTGTCTCCAAAGCTGTATATATATATATATATCAAACATATAAATGTTAAAAAAACAAACCCCAAACCCCAAAACTCTACTATGAAAACTAAAAGTACAAAACCAGAACAACCCTTTGTACCAGGCTCAGCTCTTCATTTGGAAAGTAAAATACATAAAAGTAGTAAAAACTAGATATTTGTAAAATCATTGGCAGTTCAAGGATAGCACAGTGGCAACAGGAATCAAGTCTTAAAACATGCGTCATGGAAGAAAACATTTGCTTCTCAAAACAGTTCCATGGGAAAGGTAGGTGTACAGTTACACAAAACAGCAAGTGTCTTTGGGAAAACGAAATGGCTACTGAAAACATTTCTCTTAAAGCTTCAAACAGGTATATGGTATTAGGAAAAGTATATTCTCTCTGTACCAAGGATGAATAAAAAAATAAAGCGACTGGTTTACTCTCTTCCCACCTGAAAGGGGACGGCAGCGTTCACACATGTGCTTTACACATTCATATGTTCTAGTAAAAGCTCAACACCTGTGCTTTTTGTTTCAAATATTTCGAAACAAAATGTATTGGTGTTTCAATGGATAACATGCCTCATAGTGTGCCTGGAAAAGGAAAAGCAAATGAAAATAAAACCAACAAAAGCATCCAAGTAGAGGGCAGGGAGGCTGCAGAAAGTTCTATTTTGAAGCAATGTTTTACTGCTGTCCCTGTGGAGGCAACATCACAATCTGGTGGCCCAGGCCATCGAAAATGACTAGGACTTGATGGAAAAGTATGTTTCTGTTAAGCCCCCCAATTAAGGTTTATAGGAGCAGGGATGCCAACTTTTACACGGCCAGCTTGCGTCGCGTTGCTATCCAAAGACTTAACCATGGTTCTTACGCTTGAGGCTGATAAACTGCAGGTGGTTTGTAGCTCACCCATCTAAAACTAGCTCTGGGCCAGTGTGGACAAGTTAAGTTGCCCAGAGGAATCAAAAACTTCAAGAACAGTCCATGCGAGGATGTTGCAACGCCTCCTCCCTGGGTACGAGATAAAGCACTCACACTCACCACACAGATGAGGGCACACTCACGCAGAGCTCAAGAATACGGGTTGGGTTCATAGTTTGCTACAGAAAACACTAAAAATAAAAAATACCTTGAGGTTCAAAGAAAAATATCTAAAACCAAAGAGGGCAAATTCCGGTTACTTTCTGTAAAGGTAATTTGCAGGACTTCTGAAGAATGATTTTGCCTTTCACTGTGACAAATACAAGTGGTCGAGTTTACAGCGTCTACTTGGAAGCCCTCAACTTTTCACGACCCTCCTAGGAAAATCCATTGCAAATAAGGTTGGAGGAGAGGGAGTGAATCTCTTTTATAGCTTTTCTAAATTGCAAAGTTCCTGTTTCCACATAGAGAAGTAAACTTAAACACATCAGAGGATCTGAATTCATGAGGTTTGACAGAGCAAGTATCACCCACTGAAAAAACTCAAAACATTTTACAAACACAAGACCGGGGCTGGGCCACCAAGGCCCCCTGGCGGAACGAGCAGGGATGAGACCAGGTCATGTACCGTGAGTGTCAAAGCACCTGAGCCAAAAAGTGACAATCACCCTGCTCACAAGCCAGAGTTTCTTACCTACAGCTCTTACCACGGGAAAATGGACTGCGTATGACTGCAATCAAAACAATGATTATGTATCACTATTACTTTTTTAAAAATCCAGAAAGCAATATAGGAATAGAAGGGGAGGAAATCATGATAGTACCCACCTTCCACACAGAGCAGTTCAAGCTATTAGAAATTTTAAGAACAGTACCATGCGTTATTGCGTCAGGCTTACAAAGCCATCCCGAGTTCATCAAATGTACCTGCAGCATTGGTAATAAATACTCTCAGTGACTTAATTTCTTTGAAGTGCATAGTAGGGAGCTTTTTCTGTATTAAAAATAGTGTTTTACAGTAGTAACAAACAGGATGTTCGAAATTTAACAGGCAAGCAGTAACTGCCACAGTAACACTCTTAAAGCAAGATGGCAAGATTAGTAGTTTCCTGTACCTCGGTCATCAACTTCCCCCGACTACATCTGTGACAGATAGGCAATACATTCTATATATTACTACCACTAATAGAAAAAAAAAAGCCATGTGCTTTAAAACGATGCTTTGTAAAAAGCAGCATTACCTTCAAAGGATTTCTTTAAAAACATCACTGTCACCATCCCTCCCTGTTCCCGACACCTCCTGTGTGCTCTGTGGCACCTGGTACACCAACTCCTCAGGGGCACCTGGACCTGGCTTCCCCCCTTTTGGGGTATCATACTGGGCCCGGGCTGAGGAGCAGCTGTCAGTCCTGGAGAGGAGACTGTTGTATGTTCCCACTAGAGGAGGAGGTTGGTTCCCTGTAGCTTTGAAAGTGGACGTTGAGGGCAGACCCACTGAAGCTGTGGTGTGGCCCGATATATCCATGACGATTGGGGTGGCATATTCGGGCCCCGTGATTGGGAGTGGCTCGGCGTAGGCGTGATAAACTTCTTGCACTGGGGAGTTGTAAGGATCTAGGTCAGCGTAGCCGGTTTCTTTCCCTTCTTCTGGTTTGAAGGTAGACCTCTGATGAAGTGTGCCAACAATTCCTCCCACAAGCGGCTGGGCATACTCTGTGGGTATTGCAAAAGGCAAACAACAGGAAAGTTACCTCATTGATACAGGGCTCCTAAAAGTTAGGGTGGAAGCTGCAGGCTTACACCAAAAGCAAACACTTTTCCATGGAACTGTTGGTGCTACCAACACAGACCCTGCAAGAACCAAGTTCAAAAATTAAAAGATGTTATCTTGTATATTGTGGTAATAAGTTACTATGCCAGAAAGCCTCAATCATGTGATTTTGCATAAAGAGTGTTTGTATATGTTTTCCAGATATATTCAGCCTTTCACTGGAAAAGAAATTTTCCATTGTTAGAATAATACTAGAAAAAATTTGAGATTTTTTTCTTTCCAAATATGAGGAAACGTTTATAATAAATACGTGCCAAGTTAATGTAATAAATACTGTAAGGCTCACTATGTCTTTCCTGCTCTTAACACCCCTATATCCCCAATAAAACCAAACAAATTTTCAGGTAGAGAGAAAATGCCCAGTTTTTAGAAATGAATGGCTCAATTTTATGGATAGAACATCTGAGGCACAGAAATGACTCTCAAGGTGATCTTTTAAAAAGTGGTCTACCTTTGGAAAATAGCTCATCTCTCACACATGGAAAAGATAAAAGATACTGTAAATCCCTGAACACCTCACAGCAAGCAGAGTGGTTCCTCCCTCAGCCTTGAGGCGGAAGGTGGCCACACAGTTACCTGCAGAGTCCGTCTGCAGCACTGTGGTGACCTCTCTCGGACTCAGGTGATTGACTTCACTGCTGCTGTAGCGAACTGGGGTTTCCTCGTGCTCCACGGACTTCGCAGGGAGAAACTGCTTCATTCCTTTCCACCAACCTTCATTGTGGCGGTAAGCAAGAGAGACCATTAAATAAAAACCTGTGTCTGAAATTGTAACAGTGTAATAAGAGAAATCCGGTTGCATTTAAGCCATGTCTATAACAAATATCTATATGAATTAGCCTTTATGTTCAAGCTTCCTTTTCTATTGTGGTAAAATACACAAAACATAAAATTTTTCATTCTAACCATTTTCAAGTATACAGCTCAGTGGTATCTGATAGTCACAATGTCGTGCGACCACCACCACCACCCGTTTCTGTAACTTCATCTTGTGCAAGTGGAACTCTATACCTATTAAACAGTAACTCCCTAAGTCTCCCCTCCCCCAATCCTGGCAACCACCATTCTATTCCTGTCTTGATGAGTTAACTACTCTAAGTACCTCAGGAGGGGAATCATACAGCATTTGTCTTTTGTGGACTGGTGTATTTCTCTTAGCACAAGGTCTTTAAGGTTCATCCATGTTGTGGCATACCAAAGAATTTCCTTTTGATGGATGAATAATCCACTGCATGTATGTATGTTACATATCCGTTCATGTTTCTATGTTTTAACTGCTGCAACATTGCTAATGAACATGGGTGTAGGAATATTTCTTTGAGACCCTGCTTTTAATTATTTTGTCCATATACCCAGAAGCTGAACTGCTGGATCATGTGGTAATTCTTTTAATTTTTTGAGGAACCACCATACTGTTTTCCACAGCAGTGGTAACATTTTACATACCCACCCAACAGTACACAGGGTTCCAGTTTCTCCACATCTTCACCACCGCTCATTTTTGATAGGCACTGTCCTGATGGGTGTGAGGTGGATCTCATTGTAGTTTTGATTTTCATTTCCCTAGAGATTAGTGATGTTGAACATCATTTCATGTGTTTAATGGCCTTTTGTAGATGTTCTTTGGAAAAATGTCCATTCAAGTCCTTTGTCCATTTTTGAATCTAGTTTTGTTGTTGAGTTTTAGAAATTCCCCACATATTCTAAATATTAATCCTTCATCAGATATATGATTTGCAAATATTTTTTCCTGTGAGTTGCCTTCTTACTCTGTGGATAGTGTCTTTTGCTTCACATAATTTAAAAAATTTTCTTTAAGTCCAATTTTTCTATTTTTTCTGTTATATGGGCATTTGATGTCATAGCAAAGGAATCACTGCCAAATCCAATGTCGTGTAGCTTTTGTCCTAGTTATTTTAAAAAAATAAGTTTTATTGCTTTTAGGTCTTACATTTTGGTCCTTGATCCATTTCGAGTTGATTTTTGTATATGGTATTAGGTTAGGGTCTAAATTCATTCTTTTGCATGTGGATATCCAGTTTTCTCAGAGTCATTTGTTGAAGAGACTGTCCTTTTTCCAATGACTGGTCTGGGCACCCTTGTCAAAATCATTTGTCTGTATTTGTGAGGGCTTATTTGTATTTGTATTTCTGTGTTCTTTATTCTATTCCATTGGTCTGTATGTCCCTTTATGACAATACCACACTGTTTTGATTACTGTTGCTTTGTAGTAAGTTTGAAATCAGAAAGTGTGAGCCTTCCAGTTTTCTTCTTTTTCAAGACTGTTTTGGCTATTAGGGGTCCCTGAATTTTAGGATGGATTTTTCTATTTCTGCAAAAATATCACCGGGATTTTGAATCTGTACATAGGATGTGTTCTCATTTATGTTTTTTATATTTTATTTTAGCAATGTTTTCACTGTATAAGTCTTTTACTTCCTTGGTTAATTCCTAAATATTTTACTGTTTTTGATGCTATTATAAATGGAAATGTTTTATAATTTCCTTTTCAGATTGTTTGTGTATAGAAATGCAACTGATTGTTTTTCTCAAGTTTTTTTGAAATGATTTTATTTTTGTTTAAAATAGTACAGATGTCTTTTTTCTCCCCAATGACCCATTCCATCCTTTCCCCACCATAGTCCGTGTCTTTGGGTTGTGCATATATGCATATAAATTCTTTGGTTAATCTCTCCCCCTCCACCCACCCGCCCTCTTCCATCCCTCTGACATTCGTCGGTCTGATCCAGGCTTCCATGTCATTGAATCTATTCTGTTCATCAGTTTAAGTACATTAGATGCCACGTTTAAGCGAGATCATGTGATGTTTGTCTTTCTCTGCCTGGNCATACTGTCCCAAAGGGTACGAGATCCTTCTTCTTTACAGCTGCATAGTATTCCATGGTGTAAATGTCCCACAGCTTTTTTATCCACTCATCTACTGATGGGCACTTGGGCTGTTTCCAGATCTTAGCTATTGTAAATTACGCTGCTATGAACATAGGGGTGCATATATTGTTTCTGATTAGTGTTTCAGGATTCTTAGGATATATTCCTAGAAGTGGGATCACTGAGTCAAACGGCAGCTCCATTTTTAATTTTCTGAGGAACCTCCATACTGTTTTCCATAGTGGCTGCACCAGTCTGCATTCCCACCAGCCCTTTTCTCCACACCCTTGCCAGCACCTGTTGTTTGTTGATTTGTTGATGAAGCCATTTAGACAGGTGTGAAGTGATACCTCATTGTGGTTTTAATTTGTATCACTCTGATGATTAGGAACGTTGAGCATTTTCTCATGTGTCTCTTGGCCATCTGTGTGTCGTCCTCTTTGGAGAAGGGTCTATTCAGGACCTCTGCTCATTTCTTAATTGGGNGACCTCTGCCCATTTCTTAATTGGGTTGTCTTCCTCTTGCTGAGTAGTTTGAGTTCTTTGTACACTTTGGAAATTAGCCCCTTATCAGATACATCCTTGGCAAATGTTTTCCCAGATCATGAGGTTCTTTTGTATTTTGAGGCTATTTTCTTTTGCTGCACAGAAGTTTTTTAGTTTGATGTAGTCCCATATGTTTATTTTTTCTTTTGTTTCTCTTTCCCTAGGAGATGTATCAGTGAAAATTCCACTTCGTGGGATGTCTGTGACTTTACTGCCTGTTTTCTTCCAGGATTTTTATGGTTTCGTGACTTACGTTTAAGTCTTTTATCCACTTTGAGTTTATTTTTGTGTATGGTGACAGTTGGTGGTCTACTTTCATTTTTTTGCATGTAGCTGTCCAATTTTCCCTGCACCACTTATTGAAGAGACTGTCATTACTCCATGGTATGCTCTTGCCTCTTCTGTCAAATATTAACTGGCCATAATGGCGTGGGTCTATTTCTGGGGTCTCTGTTCTATTCCATTGATCTATATGTCTGTTGCTGTGNGGGTCTATTTCTGGGGTCTCTGTTCTATTCCATTGATCTATATGTCTGTTGTTGTACCAATACCAGGCTGTTTTGATGACAGTGGCTTTGTAGTGCAGTTTGATGTCCAGCAAAGTGAACCCTCCCACTCTGTTCGTTTTTTCTCAAGATGGCTGCAGCTATTCGGGGTCTTTTTTGGTTCCATATAAATTTTTGAAATGTTTGTTCTAGATCTGTGAAATATGCTGTTGGCATTTTATTAGGAATTGCAATGAATTTATAGATTGCTTTGGGTAGTATTGACATTTTAATGATATTAATTCTTCCAATCCATGAGCATGGTATATTCTTCCACATGTTTAAATCTTCCTCTATTCCTTTTTTCAGTGTCCCGTAGTTTTCCGAATACAGGTCTTTTACATCTAGGTTAAGTTTATACCTAGATATCTTATTTTTTTAGTTGCAATGGTAAATGGTATTGTTTTTTGTGTCTCTCTCTGAAAGTTCATTGTTGGTGTATAAGGATGCCATTGATTTCCGGATGTTGATTTTGTATCCAGCTACCTTGCCAAATTCGTTTGACAAATCTAGCAGTACTTTGATGGAGTCATTAGGGTTTTCTATGTACAATATCATGTCATCTGTAAATTACGACAGTTTTACTTCCTCCTTTCCAATTTGGATACCTTTTATGTTTTCTTCCTGTCTGATGGGCGTGGCAAGGACTTCTAGTACTATGTTGACTAAAAGTGGTGAAAGTGGACATCCCTGTCTTGTTCCTGTTTTTAAGGGAAATGATTTTAGTTTTTGACCATTGAGTATGATGTTGGCTGTAGGTTTGTCACATATGGCCTTTATTATGCAACTGATTTTTGTGTTGACTTTGTATCCTGCTACTTTGCTGAATTAATTTATTAGTTCTACTGGTTTTTTTTGGTGGAATCTTTAAGATTAGTTCTTTAAATGTTTGGTAGAGCTTACTAGTCAAGCCACCAGGTCCAGGACTTTTCTCTGTTGGTAGATTTTTTATTACAAACTCAGATCCTTTACTAGTTATAGGTCTATTCAGGTTTCCCATTTCTTCATGATTCAATCTTGGCAGGTTTTGTGTTTCTAAGAATTTATCCGTTTCATCTAGGTTACTCAATTTTTGGTGTACAATTGTTCATAGTACTGTCTTATAATCCTTTGCATTTCCACATAATTGGTCATGTCCCCATTTTCACTTCTGATTTTAGTACTCTGAATCTTCTCTCCTTTCTTTAAGTTCTTCCAGCTAAAGGTTTGTTACTTTTGTCGATTTTTTTTAAGAACCAACTTTTGGTTTCACTGATTTTCTCTATTGTTTTCCTTTTCTCTATTTTGTTTATCTCTGCTCTAAATCTTTATTATTTCCCTCCTTATGGAAGCTTTGGGTTTACTTTGTTCTTCTTTTACTAGTCCTTAAGTTGTTCAAGATTTATTTTTTGCTTTGATAGACTATACGGTACAAAGCAGAATGTGGCAGAAATCACGATCAAAAGCACAGACAAAAGCAGATCACTAGCCAGATACAGTAATTTTCTTTCAAAAAATACTTTCCAAGATCCACCCTAGCAGCAGGTGATCAGCTCCCACAATTGCTCTTTTCTACCCTGCTCACAGTGGTGAATGCTTTTGGCTCCTAACAGCTGTTTGGTAGTGAGACAGGGAAGTAGCAGACCTGTAGGGGGCCTCTGGTGTAACTTGCAGCAATCTATCTGCCACATAGAGCTGGAATTCAGAAGATGGCAACCTATCATGGGCAGAGATGGCATACTTCACAGATTCCTAAACTGCGGGACTCTACTTGGTAAATACTCAGAGAAGAGTGACAAACACACACTGTTACTAGGATTAAAATCCTTTGCTTCTTACATAGTGTTCACAGAGGCCTCAAAGAAAGCTGGTCTCAAGAGAAATAGATACCTGATAAAAACCAGACAAGTTTTCCAGAAAAAAAAGAATTCTTTTCCTTTTCACTACTTATTGACTAGAAGAGATTGGACAGAAGAGTAAAAATGATCAGAAGAGAGGAGGAATGCCATTTTCCTGACAGTGCTGGGGAGTTTACATGGACCCGAAAACAACTTCCCTTTTGCTACTGCCACCTGGAGGGGGCAGCTTCCCCCAATGGAAAGAGATGCAATGTCATGAGTTACCTGCCCGGTCCCAGTAAGGTAAATCATAGGTGCCTTCAGTTTTTTTCTTTCTGGAAAAATACAGGGGAAAAAGTTAGCAAATAGAGTGAATTCACTAGTAAGACAGCTCTGAAATTGCAGGATAAACACCAAAGTTAATAATTAGTCAAGAGTACACATTTCCACTGGCTGATCTACCTGGGAGAGGCCTCTATTTCATTCTCAATAAATATTAACTGCCTCCTGAGACAGATATCTTGTTTCCCAACTATTTCAAAAGGAATAAAGAAATAAAAAAGGCTCATTCTATAGATAAAAATACTGAATCAAATCAAAGATCCAGCCCTGAAATGTGGGGTTTCTATGGGGAAATCATGTCAGGTCTAATTTGGTTTCAAATACAAATTTCACAGAACAACAAAAACCCCACATTTTCTTCTGTATTGTTGTTTCAAATTTCCTCCTTTTCTTCTATCGTCCCTGTCCCAGAGAAGTTCCAAGTGTCACATACCTTTCGTTGCACAGAATGAATTCCCCCAACCATCCCAGGTTAAGTAAACAGTGACAAATGGCCAAGGGGAGAAAACAGGATTCTCCAGGCCTGGGTGGGGAGACTCACCTGTACAACAAAGAAGGCTCTGCCCAGTCCACCCCTCACAATTCTGACATGTCCCCCCCAGGAGAGGTCTCCCATCCCTCCGTTAAGAATTACTATCTACCTAGAGGCTTTTACAAAGGGCCGTTTCCGATTCAAGTATGTAAGTCCAATTAATTAATGCTTTGCAAGCTAGAGAAAAAGCACACACGTGTACTAGTGCTTAAATGTGGACAAGGTGGTTATGTTACACGATTTGCTCCAGATCACAAATGTGTACTTCCTACTTGGAAACATGCTACTCCCATATTAGACTATGTTTTTATTACAGACATTAAAATGTCACCATTTTAGAGTCTGGCTGTATTTAAAATAAAACATTTCATTATTCCAAAGTAAAGTACAATGTAAAATGTGTGGAAGAGATGGTAGAGGTGCTGAAGCTGTTAATCAAAAACTGGAATGTGAGAGAAATAATAAAATCCTGGTTTAATAATTAGTGCTTTTCTCCTTGTAAATCCTCTACCATAAGACTTCTAAATAAGAGGACATCAATAATCTTTTCTAAATGGAAGTCAGGTGCCCTATATGGCTGGGACAATTAATTGAATGGTATGATCATTAGCCAAGGGTTGTACTATACTTTGTGTAATCTCAAGGGGAAAAGCTTCAGGTTATTCATTCATTACACGTCAAGTGCTGACAGCAGCCTGGCGTGGGTTAGGTTTCAGTGGGTTGCGGCTGACTTCATCATGCTCCTCTCCGCAGCCCTTTAAGAGCATCTCCTTCTTTGCTCCTTGTTGTGAAGCCAGTCGTCAGCAATTTCAACCACCAGGCTTAGAAGTAACTTCAGTTCTGCAGCTCAGACCTTGTGTCCTAAACAGACGTGTTCCACCTGTCTCTCGGGAGTCCGCATGTGCACACGGTTCTTTAAGCACCGTCCCAAACTCGACTCGTCTCCTTCTCAACAGTTGTCCTGTGGCCTCAACCCCACACCCTGTGCTTCAACCATGGTGGATTCGACTTTATTGCCTGGTTGGTTCAGAGGGAGCAGCGGTTAAGAGCCTGGGATCTGCAGCCAGGTACAAAACTTCACTCTGCCATGTACTGGCCAGTGACCTCGGGCAAGTAATTGATGCTCCCTTCTCACTTTCTTCTTCTGTGAAATGGGATTTATGACAGGATCTTTTTCATAGGCTGTTTTGAGGATTAGTTAAAACATGCAAAGCATTTAGAGTAACGCCTGAAATCATTTAACTTTCTATAAAAATTAGCTGTTGCTGCTGTTCTCATCATTACTACTGCTGCTGTCCAGTTCCCTGGAAGTATCATGAATTTTCTTTTTCCTGGACTTCCCTAAAGCCTTTTCCCCCTCCTCCTTTACCTACTGCCCTCATACTAACTTGGGTCTATGGATAACCTCCTGAACACCATGAATCTGGGGTCCCCTGGGATCCACGTCAGTACCATGGCCTGTATTTTCTGCATTGTATCTTCTCCCGTTCCATAAGCTTTGGGGTCATCACAGGCCTCCTAGCACAAGGCTCAATACTTGGCACAGGGTAGGAGCTCAAATGTTTGTTGAATGGCTGAACAAAAGTCATTCTCTTGCTCCACCAAACCTGTCCCTCCTGCTCTGTTACCTCACCTTATGACATCCCTACTGGTCTAACTGCACAAGCCATAAACTTCAGATCACCTTGGATCCCTCCCACTTCCTTGACATGACAGCCAGTCATGCATCCCATTGATGCCACTGGGACATATCCCACCCCCGCCCAAGCAGTTTCCTAATTCATCTTTCTGCCTCTTCTGGTCTCTCCTTTTCAATCCACTCTGCAAAACTCCTGCCACTATCTTTGTCCAGTCATCTGGTAATACCAACTATGTGCTTAACACACTCCAATGATTTCCCCTTCTACAGAATGAAATCCAGACTTTTCTCTCCCAGAACGCTCTCCCTGGCCCTGGCCCTGGCCCAGGCTGCATTTCGTGGTTCTCTCTCGGCGCTCTCCCAAGCCAAGCCCCCGGCAATGACTCCCTCTGCCGCCCACATCCCACATCTCCGTGCCTTTGCTCAAGCAGTTCCCTCAGTCTGGGCGTTCTCTACCTTCCACCATCTAGCCAAATCCAATTCCTTCTTTCTTAGTAAAACATGTGAATCTTAAGGATGACTTTCAGAAAAGATTTCAAAAACTCTGATGGTTCTCGCATTTGCCCTCTCTAGCACTTCTTAAATAGCTCTCCAAATTACAGAGTTCCTCACTTTGCCTCACACCTTGAAGATCACAATGGTGTTTCATCCCTTTGGTAAATATTGCTAAGCACCTACTATGTGTTAGACATTTTTCTTATTAATATGTGTATCCCAGTATCCAGTGCAAAATTTGATACAATAAAGTTACCCAGTGACTGACTGTATAAATGAACACACTCATGTTTTATAATAAAGGAGGAAACATGTATTTTTTTTTAATGACTATCTTAGCTCTCTCCAAAAGATGAATTATATAGTTCACCCTGGGTATTTAGTTTCTATTTCACATTTGGAAACATCCCGTCTAGGACTGATTAGGTGAACCGCTTATATACTAACCTGTTTCTCCAATGCCAGGCACACACTGATGTGAGAATGAGAGTGGTGAGGACCATGACGAGCACCGGCACAAGTACTGCAGCCAAGGCTACGTCTGAAATGTACCAAAGGCAGCAATTATGACGGGGAAGAGTGAAGATTACCCACATCAGCTTTCAAAGGTTTCTATCTCAAAAAATACCATAAACATTATTTAAGAAGTGAGGCTGGGCATGAGTTGGTAACCTCAGAAGTTTTCGTGGATATGTGGAAGTTCGTCGCACTATTTGATTCACTCTGTATTACACTTAAACTTTTTCATAGTAGCTTCACCAGGACAATGATTGAGAATGATTGATAAACTGAGACAATATATTCTGCATGTGATAAAGGGTTATTCTAGTTAATACATTACAGAATATACAAGTAAAAAATAACAGAAAAGTTGGCGGAGAGGAACGAACAACCCATTAAAAAAACAAGTGACCATTCAACATGTTAGCCTCACTGGTAATCAGAGAAATGGAAGTTAAAACAGTAAGATCCTATTTCTGCTTATCAAATTGGTAAACATTTAAAAGAACTAATTGTTCAAGAGGGTATTAGGAAAAAGGTAGTTTTATGGGACTATAAATTGATACTTCCTGTATCACTTGGGGGCAATACAAATAAACAATGATGATTTGGCAAGTCCGTATCTAGAATTTATTCCTGGGAAAAAATTAAGATGACATTCAAGGATGAATCTTTAAAGAGGTTGCTTCTGTATCTGTGGAAGAGTGAAAAACTGGAGACAATCCAAATGCCCAACAATGAAAGGGAGTAAGTACATTGTGGTATCCTCCTTATAGTAAAATATCACCCAGAAAAAGGAAATGATGTTGCAACATGAGGGCACAATATTTATAGATACAGGAAGGAGACAATATCCGGTTAAGCACATAAAGCCAATGTGTGTATCAACAGGGCAGAAACAGACACTGCTGGATCCTGCAGGGAGGAGGAGGTCATTTGATCCCCTTATCTCACTCCACAGATAAAGAATCCTGGGCCCAGGTATAGAAAAGTCTGCCTAAGGTCATCTGGGACATTAGTTTCTTCCTTCATCTGTCAGCCCCTCCTGACTCCGAGGACAGCAGCAACTACTGATATCCACCAGGGATACCAGGGGCTAAGTACCAGACACTGTGTTAGGCCTCATTCACTTTTAATTGTGTCCAAAGAACAGAAAGAGGCTGATAACAGGAGAGGGTGAGGATGACCAATAACATGAGGCCTCTGAGAGGCTGGGAGGATGGGAACTTGGGCACAGGTGGTGATCGGTCTTGGGCTGTACAAAGAACCCCCTTTTTTAGTGCAGTAGACAAGAGGGTACACGTGAGTTTTGTAGGTTCCACAAAAAGGGAGTTTCCTTCTAATGGCTTCTTCTTTCTTCGTGAAGTTGAAGAGGGTACCGGGGGTGAGTGAAGATCTTAGGGTTAAGGTTTTATAGAATATGGAGGCAACTGTTGCGAACACACAGAAGAGCTAACCCGGGAACCAGAAAGGCAGCCTGCTGGTGCTGAGGCCCCCCTGGAGGAGGGGCTGGAAGTTACAGCAACACAATCTGTCCATGACACGCTTCCTCCAGCATCACTCTCACCCTGAATGTACAAATGGAGAAGTGCATACAACAGAAATCCTGACTCAGGCTAGAAAGCACTAAGAATCAGGAAAGTCAACGTGCTTTTTTATCTCTAAAATTTGTGAAATTGGAGGGCGAACAATCAGGGTTCAGATGGATGCAATCAGAGGTATTAAAACGCCTGCTTGGGTTTGGGTCTACACAGCACTGGTCCCAGAGGCTAGACCCTTTCAATTAAAAACACCTGCACATTCTTTGTTCTTTTTAATCTTGCAGGGATCCTGGCTCTGGAAGAAAATGCTTTAAGGGCACTTCTAGTTTTAGATTTTAAGATTCTACAATCAGATTTCAAGATGGGCAATGCATGTGGTCTGGGTTCTGCCCAAACACTTGCCTCCTGCAAACTGGGAAGAAACTCTCTGTGGAGATGCTAAGATCCCTCGGCTCTGAGAACTCACGCTTCTTGCTAGATTTCCCTGCAGCATGAGAAAAGAAATTTGTTTGGAAGATAGGAAAGAAATTGACACGTTGAAAGTTATCTGAATCCAGACAAATTTTCAGAAAATGAGGATGATTAAAGTTCTGGGTGGCACAAGTTACGATGAATGAGCTGAATGAGCTGCAATCTCCCCTCTGTGCTGTCCTGAGAACGCGTGTGCTTTATTTATCTGCCAGCACTGAAACATTCCTCTAGGACACAGGCGCTTCTTTTCCTGTAGTCAGCTGAAACTTTGTTTTTCAACAACTTATAAAATCAAAGAACTATTATGTTTTGTATGTTAATACCTTATCATTAATAAAATTTGAAAGTAAACCCTACTAATATATTTATACTTATAATCTGAAAAATTATAATTGCAAACATTTTAAAAAGAGATTAGTTTTTTTATGTGTTAACTCAGAGTATTTTTTAAAAAGTATTAATTTTCACCAAAACATTTTTCTCTTCTTTTTGCCACCAAATTCCCTATCCAACCAATTAATATATAATAAAGAGAAAAGGTTTGTTTCCTGCTATGCTTTTCATTTCTAGAAATATTTCTAGGCATGAGATTCCACAATGTTTAGCTGCACAGAGACAAAAACTGCAAGAGGAGGTCTACAATAGAGCAGCCACCTCTCTTTTTTTTTTGGTTAATCCTTACCCAAGGATATTTTTTCCATTGCTTTTTAGAGGGAGTGGAAGGTGGGGAGAGAGAGACATCGATGTGAGACAGTCACATCGATTGGTTGCCTCCCACACACGCCCCAACCAGGGCCAGGGATCAAACCTGCAACCCAGGTACATGGGCTTGACCGGAATCAAACCCGTGACCCTTCCGTAAGTGGACACTCTTACCACTGAGCCACACCGGCGAGGGCCAGCCATCTCTAAATATTTAAAGAACAATTCTACATGGCTCCAGAGAACAGAACTTAGAGCAAAAAAGCCAGTTTTCCCCCAAGAGAAGGAATCAATTTTCTTGCTACACTTAAAAAACTCCAGTCCAAGGACAAGAAACAGAGTTTAAAAGCTAGAAATGTTCTTAGAAACTTAAATTGCAAACAGTAAAACAAGTCTACAGACAGGTATGAACGTTGGGTTGCCCACCTTTGGTGACATCTGGAGTTACAGTTGTGTTCCTGATATCAGGAGCGGCAGTGGTTTGTTCTGTCTGTGCAGGAAATTCATTGCTCCTGCGAGGTTGTAGCGGCTGAGTGAATTTTGGGCGATGACCTAGAAAAACAAAAAGGTTTAAAAACTCTTTATTCTTTTATCTACGTCAACTTGATTAAAATAAAGTTACTTTACAATGTTTTTAACATACTTATGGAAAGTTATACCACAAATCCAGGGGCTATGAAATTCTCATGTTTAAAGGAGGCGTACCTCTGGCTATTTTTGGAGGGGCTGTAGTGTTTCTGAGGTCATTGCTGTTCCGAGGAGGTGGAGGTGGAGTGAGTTTTGGAGGACGACCTTGAAAAATGGTTTAGAAAATAGTAATTTAAATGTCTTTGCCATTTCCTAGAATACTTAATTCTGCACAGTCATTTTAAACCTCAGAGAGAAACATGTCAGAAGGACAAATATATTCTGCATTAAATGCACAAATATATTGGGACTTCACCGTTTTTAAATAATTAAATTGTCTGAGAGTAGGGAGGCGAATGATGCTGAACTCTAAAGCTATAAAAATTTTACTGTGATGTGATCTACTCAGCAATTCATTTAATAAGTATGTATGGAGGGCCCACTATGTGTTAGGCACTGTGGCAGTTCTTAGGGATACAACGGTAAACAGGGCATTAAAATATTGTATAATGTTGAAGGAAGTTACTCCCACTTTTAACTTATTCAAAGTGAAAGTCATTTAGAGGTTACTACTGTGTAATCAATCATCAGTGCTTATGTGATACAAGGATTATATACATGAAACCTGATTAAAAACTGTTAAGGTTGAGACTAGATTTGGAAAGCAATCTCATGACTTCTCATCCCGGGTGCCCTCTCTTCTACTTGTAATTCTGGAAATTGTTTTTATGTCTAACTTTTTAAGAGGATAACTATTTCTTTTTAAAAATTCCTTTAGGAAGATAATGTAATTTAGAGGTTACACACTGTTATTAATTACTTTCTCTGAGAATAGCACTTAGCATTCTTAATCAATCCAGTGAAAAAAACACGTTTGAAACATACTGTTGCTTTACCTTTAGGAATAAACTGACATCCAAGCAGTTCCACTTTCATGGCAATTTTCTGCTGCCATTGGGTAGGATTCACTCTAATAAAACGTGCAATAATTGGTGGCAAAAAGTTATTACGCACATCCTGGTGATAATCTTTGTTTCCTTGAAATATCTTTAAAAAACAAAAAATTGGTACTTTACATCAACAGAGGCCAGGGCTAAATTGCTCCACTGAAACATGTTTTTGGGTGTGTTTTTTTTTGTTGTGGGCCTTAAATGAGATCTGCAAAGTACGACAATAAGAATTAATTTTTAAGAAAGTAAATCACAATTTGGAAAATTATTAAGAGGCTGCACATTCTTCATCAAAAATTTATAAAAGAAAAATACAGAATATAAAAATGATGTTAAGATGATACAAACAAGAATGCTAACTTGGCTATTTGAGAAGAGAGCTTCAACTGCAATGAGATGGTATATTGTTATTAATGAATCAGTAACTCTAGTCCTGTAGAATTCCCAACTATATAAATATGTTGATTTTATTTTCAAAGCAAAGCATAACTGATCATATGAGATCTCAGAGGAAATGCTTTACTGTTCACTTTTCATAATTTTTCTCTCAATAAATAGACTGAAAATGAACATATACTAACACACACAACAGTTATATAGCTCCACCTACTGGATAAACTACATAAACACAGTTCCCATATTCTGTTGTTCTCTGAGCCAGAAAAGGGACACTGTTCCCTGCCTAATGTAACCATCGTCACTAAACAGCAACGGATGCATTACGTGAATAATCCTTAGGTAAAAATATGATTTCAAGGACTATCTTATTCCCTCAGCTACTTCAACCAAATAACGATAGTACCTTACACTGGAAGAGCCCTTAATCACAGAGCATTTCCTATGATTAAGTCGGTTCCTCTCTATGACAGCCCTACGAAAGGGGCAGAACCCAGGAAACTGCAGCTCAGAATCGGATCCCACAGTCTGTCAGTGACAGAACAGCGACTTGAATGTGTGTCTTCAGACCTATGGTTAGGGCTCTACGAAGCAAAAAAGGCCCTCCCTGTTCCTACAGGCCAGATCATCTACAGGTAGATTCTAAAGACCATTAATAAATGAACACCTTCCTAAAATCAAAGTGGCTTATTTTTATCAGTTAAGGTAGGAACAAGTAAATGTTTACTTCCTCAATCATGCCATTTCCAAATATTATAGCTATTTTTTTCCTGGCCGAGTCACCATGACATTAGATTGTAAACTTCTAAGATGTGTTAATATCCTTCATTTTCTAAGAAGTTTAATTTGAAATTACAATAATTTCCACATGAGTAATCTTCCATTATTTCCTCAGATATTACTCTGAAATAAAATGAAGGCAATTATTTACAGTTTATCACTTTAGTGGAATAAAAATAATAAATAAACATCATTTTGGGACATAAAAACTATATCCCTGAGATCTTACTCCATACTGCAGTCTCATTTTTATAAAAAACTTAAAGGAGAAAGATTTTATAAAAGCCAAGTAAAAAAGACTTGCTATATTTAACCTATAAGCATTTATTACAAATCCCTATGTAGAGGTTGGTTTGCAAGGTGTCATGAGGGTAATATGGAAATGGAAGTCAAAGTTCCCATTCTCTGGGAACTTAAATTTACTGGATGTTAGCACACAAAAAGTGGCATACTATTAAAAGCAATATATTATAAAAACAAGGTGTACATACAGTTCCACTTCAAAACCAAACCAAAAGCTCTCTCAATTGGTCTGTATGTGCTCATGCATGGATGTATGCTTAGAAAGGGTGTGAAATTAAATATGCCAATTACCCTTGAGTTGGGCGTAGATGAGGGAGCAGATGGGCTAACATAAGTGAGGCAAAAAATTATTTCATATAATTCCATGAAGGACTTCTATTTCTATCCATGATAGATTTACAGTGACTTGATTTAATCTTCTGCCTTAAATTTCTGAGAAATCAAATAAAATCTATGAAACAATGGACTTTCAGACATTGGCCAACAGGCAGCATAGGGCAACAACCCCTGAGAAAAGGGAAACAAATAAGGTGAGGCCTTTACTGCCCCAATATTGCCTAGAAAAAGCCTAGTGTTTCACTGAATCAAGGAGACAGAGCTCAGAGATGGAGGGCGAAGGCAGCTAGAATTTGCAGAGTATAGTATAGAAGAAAACTGCAGAGAAACTTCTAGGATCTGTAGGAAGATTCCCCTCATATGAAGAAACTATCTGTGGATGGGTAAAAAACACCAGAAAGGAGCCAGTAGAAAAATTCTGAGAACTGCACAGGGCTGGGAACAGCTCGCACTGCCAACAGCCAGAGTGAAGAAACCTCCCAATACATGGGATATTGGGCTGAGGACTTATAACACTTTTCTCAGTGGTAGGGAAAAATTAGAACAAAAGGCTGCTCAAGTCCTGCCTAATAAAGCTAAAATGCAAGCACTGAAAAGATAATGATTTTCAAGTACTGTGTATCCCAGAATAAAGCTCAAACAGAATTAAAGGAATAATAAAAAATGAAATCTAGCACCAAACAATGTCATGTTTATGTCTGGCAACCCAGTCAGAAATTACCAGATGTGTAAAATATGACCCGTAATATCAATCAACATAAAAAGATCTAAATATGACATATTAGTAGATAGAATTATTAGGCAAGGGCATTAAGAGTTGTTATTATATAACCATATGTTTCAGAGGTAATGAAAAGTATGAGCATGTTAAGGACATGGAAGAAATTTTAAAAGCTCCAAAATGAAAATCTAGAGGTGAAAAACACAGTATTAAAGATAAATACACAGGATAGGATTAATAGCAGATCAGACATTGCAGAAGAGATTACTGAGCTTGAAGACAAAACAATAGAAATTTTTGAAACTAGAGAACACAGAGAAAGATTAAAACAATGAACAGCATCAGTGAATTGTAAGACATCTTCAAGAGTCATAATATTCATGTAATTAGAAATGAGGAGGAGACACATTTGAAGAAAAAAAATGGCATACAATTTTCCAAATTCAATGCAAATTATAACCCAGGGATCCAAGAAGCTCAAAGAAGCCCAAGCAGGAGAAACATGAAGCCAACTACACAAAACACATCATAATCCAATTACTTAAAACAAATGATAAAAAGAAAATCTTGAAGGTAGCCAAGGAAAAAAAGACATTACATATTGAGCAACAATGATTAAGAATGTAGCAGAATTTGTGCTGAAAACAATGCAAACCAGAAAACAATGTACCAGCATATTTAAAGCATTGAAACAAAAAACTGGCAACCCAGACTCTCAATTCAGTGAAATTATCTTTCAAAATGAAACAACAAAAAATCTTTTTCAGAAATTCAATGTTCTTAGATGTTTTTATAATGTAAACATGGTTAATTCTTATAATTTCAAAAAATTAACTACATCTCACAAATATAATAAAAATTATACAAATAAATATAGATGTGCTAAGTAAGAGTAAAAGGTAGTCAAGTTTGGGGGCATTAGAAGATAGAAATGAGACAATATTGTTATTTGCTCAATGGGCAGAGGCTCACCAAAGATGGAGTTCATGTGATATCAAGTAGAAGAGAGGAAAGAAGGCCTTGAATAACAGCAGAAGAGTTTAGATCCATATGAAAGACTATAGGAAGCCCCTGCAGTTTTTGAACAGAGAGATGAGAAAAGTGGTAATTGAAGATATATTAGTAAGTCTTATATATGATAGAGAACTGACAGTATCAGTATCATATAACTAAAACAAAATTCATACGGAAGTGTCACTAAAAATATGTGCTCATATTTCTAGATGAGAGGAATCTACCTTCCTCAGGGACATGGACTCTTGCAGTTACAAGATCCTTGTGGTAGATCGAGGGCCCGGAGCCAGGTGTGGGGAGCCACCTGTGCCTGCTCTCCACCCCTTTCTCACGCAGTCTGGCCCATTTCAGCACAGTCATGTTAACTAAGACAACAGTTTCGTAATGACCGCAGAAGCTAAGGGAATTCTTCAGGTAGGAAAATATAGATGTTTTCTAAGACAAAGTTGCTGAGGTGATCTTGAAATGACCTTTCAAGTCTACAGTGGCCTATAAATTAATGCTCTTTTGCCTTTAGCTCTTTTGTCCCCGTTGCCTACCGAGTAGAAATCTGGGAACAAATTAGTTAGGCTTCTCCATCATTTTGTGTATTGAAAAGAAAAGCTTTTTAAAGACAAGAAATTATAAGTTCCTTTCTAGAATTTCCTAATAAAGTCTCTAAAAATTTGAGTTAAAATGTAGTGGAAAAAAATAATTAGTAAAGTACTTAACCCTTACAATCATCAAAAGTGACCTAGAACCACTGAGAATTTCCTAACCATGGCTTAGAAGGATAAGGTCAATAACTAACACTACCTAAAATAACCAGAAGAGGGCAGACTTACACCAAATAGTATTTAACTTTTAGATCACACAGGAGGAGCTCCTGTGACTTTGGCAAAGGCTCATTTAAAAAAATGTTTTAAAAAATAACTTGTTAATCATTTTACCTTATCCTGCTCCACACCAGGCTCTCTGTACACAGACCACCTCTGCCCATCGTCACTGTATAGAATTCTGTAGGCAGACACGTAGTAGTTATGCTCCACCATGGTGGAGCCAGTGGTCACAATACCTGGGGAAGGGAGGGATGCTTTTATTACTGCACATGGTCTAATCTTGGAAGTCTGTTCACCACTGAAATGTAAACACCTAACATACACTGCTCCAACATTTTTGCCTATGACACATTACCACATCTAAGCGCAAGGTTTCATCATAACAGTGCTGAAATCCTTGGCTTTGCTCCTGTGTAGAGACAGGAAGAACTAAGTGCACACATAAGGAAAGGACCATTCCATTTTAGCAGCCTGTGTTCATATCACAGTGAAATATACTGCACCTACCAAGTAAGAATGGCTTCCTGAGAATGAACAGATTAAAGATGATTACTGGTATAATTTTCGGTACCGAAATAAATCTTTAACAAAACCAATCCCAGACAATTATTCTGACCACTTGCTAAATTGCACTAAATAATTAAATTTATACTCAGCACATGTGGAATATTATTTACAGCACTTAAGAGTAAACTCCTTGAACATAAATTTCTCTTAATGACTATAATAGATGGTTATTTCAGATGTCTCAAGATCACCTTACTGAAACACTACCTTAAAAGAATCTTATTACAATAACAAAAAAGCTAATAAGACTCATACCAACTCCTCTCCTCTGTCATGTTTTTTATAAAACTGTCTTCAGTAACATTAACACCAGTAAGGAAAACGTAAAACCACAGAATCAAATTTGCAGTGACTTAATTTTCTATAAAAATCTTAGATGTCACCAGGTTTTCAAATAAAATCAGTATAAGTTCTAAAACATCATGTCTCTTAACCTGTTATCTTCTTTTCCTTGTTCAGATCTATCTGTAACCACTGATACTCATCAGTGGCAAAAGCAGCCCAGGGTGGCCCTGGTCTCCTCAGCCGGGCCTTTTCGGGTTTCCAACTGTTCTCCTGCCCGGTGTGGTCAGTCCACTCCAGCACAGACGAGGCCGTTATCTGAGGATCGGCAATCACACCAGATTCCATGCCCAGGGTTCCGTAACAACCTGAAACAAAGAAGAAAGTAACTGGGTTTCCAGATATAAACTTAAAATCTACATAAACTTGCTCATTGCAAACTTTCTATTATACCTTTAATTAACTTACACTATGCAAATAGTACGCTTTAACAGTGAAATTTCAAAACTAGGCAAGTGTTTCTTGGGTCTATGCTTTGTGTCTTGTCAGGAACTGTACATATTTATTCACGAGCAACAACCGTTAGTTTAATGGAGATATATTACAGTCTCCCTGGGACAAACTCCCAGGTCAGTGGGTGACTCATTCCTCTCCCTCCTTCAGGTGTTAGCTCAAATGTCACATTCTCCGTGAGGCTTGCCCTGATCCCCCACCAGTCCCTCCTGCATTGCCTATCTTTTCTTGATTTTCTACATCTAATATTATAAACAATACATTATAAATAATTGGTGTATTCACTGTTCATTGTTGCTCTCTCACTATCAGAATGTAAGCTCCAGGAAAGCAGAATTTTGTTTATTCTGCTCACTGCTGTTCTCCTAGACCAGAACAGTACCTGACAATTAAAGGCTGGCACTCAATAAATATTTTCAGTCAAATGAATGAATTACGTCTTCAGACAAGTTCAAAAATCACCTTTCCTAGAAATTTTCCTTGCTTATACGATCATTTCCCTATTCATATAAAACTTTAATTATATTATTAAACACCATCTAACCTCATAGTGTTATTGTGACAACTAAATAAGAAAGTACAAGAAAAGTGACTGGCACAATTCCTGACATTCAGTGTTCAAAACTATTAGCTACTACACAAATTATAAAGTCCACAAAAGGCTTACCACTTGTCTTAAATGTAAAAAGACTTGTAGATAAGTGTCCCCTGAAAGAGAGAAAGGTGTTTTTGGTGACACATCACATAACACATGAATTCCCCATATCTGTCTTAGTAAAACTTCTGTTTTTATTTTACTGTATAAAGAACTAAGACTATTCTCTGGCTATATATTAGACAACTGATAATGTCCCTAGTTAAAAAGAGAGTCTCATTTCTAAGCAAAACTTCTGACATCAGTATAAATAACTTTCTCTACAAGTACCTAGTTCCTTGTTTCATACGTGATTGTGCAAATATGTCCTTGTAACCTTGAATATATGTTATTTTATCTTTCTCATGGAATAAGTTGACTCCTGAGCCTTTCCTCTGGCAACTGCTTGTGGTGAAGGTGTATGGAAAGGGGTAATTCTCCGACAAGGAGGCTCCAGTTTCCTGGGGTAAACAGAAGCAAGCCGGATACTGCCGAGAGAGACTGCATTTGTTACAGGAAAGCAGTGTGTCTAAGAACAAGAAGTTCCAGTGTTGCAGGGGATGAGAGGGGGATTCATAATACTACCACCTCTGATTAATGTCAAAATTTAATTCACATTCAAAGTGTTTCAATTATCCTCAATTCATCCTGGGTCACACAAGGCTGTAAAGAAGAGTAGTTATACCTTCTGATCTTTAAAATGAAATAAGGATTTGCGAACATACTTCTAGACTTTTCAACACTTAGAAAAGAACAAACAAACATGCTTCCAAATGACCTTTTTGACAGAGAACTAACCAAGTAGTATGACCCTGCCTGTCCTCTTCAGTACACTCAGGCGCTGGGCACATACATGAGTGCCACTGACTATTACACTGCTGAGGTCTTACGAGTCCCTGTCCCACCCCTGCCCAGCATGCTTATTATAATCGGCATATATACTTACACCACAGATGTGACGTTGTTAGCCAAAGAGCTTTCATAGTACGGGATGCCTTTACTAATTACAACACTGATCTGGCCACCCAGGACGTTTGACACCACTCCTGCGTGCACGCCAGCCAAGCACAGTGGCGAGGACTGAAGGAAGGAGGGAAAGAAAAGGTCAGTGTTTGATTTCCTTTTGATAATTCATAAATAAGACTTACACTTCTTCAATAAACTAGTTTATCTAGGCAGTTTTCTCAATAAACATGAGACATATTACTAATGCAGTAACACAGATTTTTAGAAGAAAAATAAAACATTACACATTACTAAAAAGAAACAATTCCTAGAAAAATACCCAAACAAAGATATACAATAGGTACACATCTACCTATTCTGAAGTTTAAAAAAAATAAAGTCCCATCACAACTTTAACCTAAGTCTTAGAGCCTACTTACATCTCTGTATCCATGAGGGATTGTTCCAGATATCTCAGCAAAAGGAAGCAGACAACCGGCCGGACAGTATTTACTGTGAAATAAAAACAAGCTAAAGGGCACATACCACTGTACTTTTGGGGGAAAAAGACCAAAAAACCCCACATATCCATTTTTCATTTCAACGTAAATACCATAATCTCACCACTCTGAGAGGACCACCACCTGAAAAGCCCTTTCAGACTTTCTCCTATCCATCCACACACGTCTTTACCCACAAATGTATAAAAAGTGTCTCTTATTTTACATACAGCTTTATTTTATTTCAGAATGAATAAAGGCATATTTGTACTCTAAGCTCTCTTCACCTACATGAAATTCTATTTGTGGATAAACCATAATTTATTTTAGCAACCCTCTATTGATCAAATTTATGTTGATCTAAAAAAAAGTTTAGTATTCATTCATTCATTCATTCATTCATTCATTTACTCACTCACTCACTCCTAACCCACCCACCTACCCACTTGACACATTTACTTGACTATGTGGTCCAAGTGCTGGGTTGTGCTGGTACTGGACTTACAAATGTCAATCAAACAAACACAGCCCCCTGTCCTCACTGAGTTTATATCAGTGGTGGGGGAAGACATTAAACTGATACTTACACAAACAATTAGATTATGATTCTGCTATGAAGGAAAGAGACTCTATGAAAGAACTTGGAAGACTCTGACTTAATAAAAGTAATAAAAATGTTCAATAAGCTTACTATATGACAGGCAGCATTCTAAGAGCTTCAGGTAGTCCACGTAAGAACCCTACGTGGCAGGAACTATTACCCTCCTCATTTTACAGATGAGGACCCTGAGGAACTGTGTGACTGGGTCACGTGGTTGGCAGGTGGCAGATGTCTGCTCACACACAGGCTCTGCACTGTCTGGGTCAAGGAACTGGGCCCTGAGGTCATGACGCTTCAGCAGAACTAACAGTCACTGGAGCAAGTGGAGGGAGATGCATCCTGATAGAAAGGAACAGCATGCCTGTGAGGCAGGTGCTGGGTGTGTCTGGAACAACCAGTGCAGGTAGACTGCAGTCAGCAAAGGTGGGTTAGTGTGAGAAAAAGCTAAAGTGAGGGCAGGGGCCAGATCATGCAGGGGCCTTGTGGGCTACGGCAAGGAGTCTGGAATATGTTACTAAGTAAAAATAGAAAGTCAATAAAGGATTTTGACAGTGCATATACATAATCTGATTTGTATTTTTAAAAGAGTACTGTGGCTCCCAGGAAGAAAAAACTGTAAGGATCCATGAGTGGAAGCTGGGACAGAGTGAGGCAGAGAGGGCAGTAGTCCAGGCGAGAGATGACAGCAGCTTGCATTTGGGCGGTGACAACGGAGCTAGAGAGTAGAGGACACAAGACAGTGGACCCTCTGCAGGGCTGTGAGCCATACACTGATGCCAGGGTTACCTCTGCAGACCAGGATCCCTCACAAGTGCTGAAGAGTGCACCCACCCCATAGAGACAGAACCATTTTTGAAGACAGAGGAAGGTTCTCTGTGAAGAGGTAGCAAGTGGCAGGGGGGTTAGTGAGATGGTCTTAGAGGATGAGAATGATTCTGCCAAGCAGAGAGGAGTAAAGCGATTCCAGGCGAAAGTCCTGAGAGCTCAGAGCAGTGTAAGCAATCCAGATGCCCTTTCCACATGAATGCACAAGACGAAACTAGGAAAATGGCCCAAGAAACTGGGACAGGATCCTGAACACCAAGCTAAGGAATCCGGATGACTCCACCTTGATTAGGAGTGCTTGAAATCTGCAAGCAGGGGGTGAGGAGATACGTATTTTAGAAAGTAACCTGGCAGCCATGTTAATGGCAGAGTAAGGCCGGCAAAAATTAGGACTGGGAGGGGAATCGATGCAGGGTTCATCTAGTTTGGGCAAGAGACAAGGGCACAAAGCAGGGAAATCGCAGAAATACTCCTTGGGTAGGAACACTGAAATTTCACAATAGCCTAAACCCATCTCTTGTCTTTTTATAGAAAAGATAAATAGTTCTACTTTTATTAGCAGTTCTGCCAGATTTTGAAGAGCAACTGGTTTTACTTTTAAAGTACATTAAAATTATATTTTCATTGTGGAGAAGATCCAAATGCTACAATTAATGCAAAATTTAAACATGGCAATGCAATGGCTTTAAATAAAACTCTGGTTTACAGAGTGAGGTGTTACAACAATGACCACGTGTCACCATGGATGTTAATCTTCGGTGTGTGAAGAATCAGGCTGAAGGCAATGAGGGTAAATTTAGGGGAAAAAGGGCATAAATATGATCCTACCTGAACTCAGGTTCCAAAAAGCTGGGTGCAGTGTCTAAACAAGTAATTAGATCTAGGGAAAAAACACACACAAACGGATTCAATAATACACAGGTTTACTCTTGCCGAAACACTGTTTCCAAATCCCAAATCATATTGTTCTAAATTTCAAAATCTCAATGGCTGTCAAAGTATTGTTGACAAATTTTTGTTAATCAAAATTTCTTTCTGATTTTAAGTATCTTGATTTCTGGGCTATGTCTCCCCAAAGCTGTTTACTGCATCACCTCACAGTCACATAAACAGGATGGGGCACAAGTAGGTTTACAGTAGTGAGTATGTGAAAGCTCATTCTTATATTATTACTGGATTAGTTTCCATACAAACAACTGTTAGCCTACTTTTGCCCCACCCTATATAGAAAAGGTACACAGGTAAGTGTAATTTATAGCCTTTAAATGGCATCTATAAAATACAGCTCCCGAAAAAAAAAATTTAGTTATTGTGTAACTAAAAATGATCCTCTGCTGATTACACACCAGGAAAATAATGACAAAAGAGGGGTAAGTTAATTCTAAATAACTGCAACTCAAAATCTGGTCCACGTCAGGACCAGCAGCATCAGCATCTTCTGGGAACTTATTACAAATTCAAATTCTTGAACACCATCCAGACTTACAGAATCTCTGGGAGTGGGGCCCAAAAATCTGTTTTAACAAGCCCTCCAGGTAATTCCTAAACACACTACAGTTGGAGCACTGCTCTAAATATGACAAAATTTTAAAATTCTAACCTTTTTCTACCTAGAAATCAACAACTCTGAATAAGAGCTAAGCTGGCTAATTGAGACCCAGTTTACAGGCTATGTAAAGGCGGCTTTCGGTTTAAACATTTCAATGTCTTCTTTCTGCTCTTAGGACGGAGGGAAAACCTTCAACATGACCCAGGAGGTCTTCAAGTGCTTCAGTCTCATCTTGTTTCCCTCTCGGCTTCTTGCCACACTAGTCTTCTCTAGAACATGCCATTCTCTTGGTCTAGGAGGCTTTTCAACTACCCTTCGATAAGCTGACTCCTCTCTAAGGTCTCAGCTTAATTGACATTTCTTTAGGGAAGCTGCCCCTCACCTTGGCAATCAAACACCTTTAGCACACAGTAGGCACCTACATTTGTCTGTTTTAGTGAATGGATGACTATCATAGGCTCTCACAGTAGCATGTGTTATATATGAATGATTTGTTGATGCATTAGAGTTACAGCAACATCATTAGGTGAGGCCGGGTCTACACACAGGGACTGAGGCCATTTTGTGTCACCAGCAGCAATCACAGCACTTGGCACAACAGAAGGCTTTCAATCAGAGTGAGTATCTGATTGTTAGCATGTTTCAATAAGTCCAACAATGCACTAACCAGTTGGGAGGAAAACCTGGAAGGTGGCCCTAAGGCAACCATGAAGTAAGTGACTTCACATATAAACACTTGGCCAAACAACTTTGCTGAAGGTGACCAGCACACTGATGGAGACAGCGCCTCACATGTGTCCTAGTATACTGATGGCACACAAATATATATATATATTTTAAATATATCTTTATTGATTTCGGAGAGAAAAGGAGAGGGAGAGAGAGAGACAGAAACATCAATGATGAGAGAGTCATTGATCGGCTGCAGCCTGCAACCCGGGCATGTGCCCTGACTGGGAATCGAACCCTGATCGCCTGGATCCTAGGTAGACGCTTAACCACTGAGCCACGCCCGGCCAGGCCACACAAATATTTTTAAATCAATGTCCACTATAGCAACAATGGGATAACTGATTCTATTCTACAACTCTGAAGAAACCATGTGTTTGTCACCCAACTGAAATGTGTCTTGAAAGAACTAGAGCATAACAAAGTTATACCAATAGAAAAGTTGTATTTTGAGAGTGATTATATGTATTAATATACCACAGCATTAGGTTAAATGATTAGGTTGAACCTGTGTTTTAGCAGTTTAAGAGGACACATGCCTGGAAAGGGTTCACTACTATCAGGTTTACTGACTGGGAAAAGCAGATGAACTGAATTACCTACACTCTAGTTATTCCTGGCAATCTTTACATTGCATCAATAAGAATTAATTTTCCACTTTCCTGCTCTACCAAAAGTGTTTCCAGCTTCTAGGATTAAAACTTGAAGTTCTAAGATTAATAGCCTGGGATAAAAAGGTGCCTGTGTGGTCTAACATGGTATTTAAGCCACAAGGAGATTGCCAGCTGGCCTCATTACCTTCAGGCCAGGTGCCAGAATGCTGGTCGGCCACGGATATACTTGATCAGAACAGGGCTTTATTATACGTCCACACAGTGCTGAAACTCCAGATCGTGCCGTACGAATGTCTGCAACTCATGTGACCTTGTTCTTGAATGCCATGGGGGCTCAACCGGGAAGGGCCACGCTGCCACCATCTGAACTAGGATGTCCTGACATGAAAGTATCAGCTGTGATGCAGGTTTAAAAGGAAATTTCTGAGGTCGAAGATTTGTTTAATTTGCTGATTATGATCTTTGTGTGTCTTGTTATGAAAGTGGTGCAAGAAGGCATAAAACTGACCTCCAATACAGTGCCTATTAACAAGAGTAGGTTTTGATTTGTACTATGGTGGGGAAGCTTTCCCTGTAGAGCAGCCACAGTCTTACTTTTCCCTACTGTGGAAAAATGGGCTATACAAGAACATGTTAGTGTGAACACGCAGAAACATCCACAGAAGTTATCTGTCCTGTATGTGCAGCATTACCTGGAGGAGACTACTCATGTCACATTTCAGCACAAAGCCCCTAGAGACTCAGATGGGTCGAGTGGTTTTCGACATGTACACAGGGTGTCTTACCCTGGCCGGGGATTAGGAGGCCCTCGTGCTCATAGACCAAGCATGCACTGTACTAGCAGTTCGACTGGTGGACTTGCTTCTTCTGAGTTCATCTTCCCCATGAGTCCTATAGCTTCTATCCCAGTTATCAGGAGTGGGATGTTCTGCAGGAGGACAGCGTTACTCCTCTGGCCCTTGCGCTTCTCAGTTAGAACTGCAGCTGCAGCTGCAGCTAGGCGGGCCGCATGCCCAGGCGGCGCGGCAGCAAAGGGAGGCCGCAGTGCAAGCCGGTGCACTAACACAAACACTGTCACCACCAGTCACGTGGCGACAACCAACACAGAAAGCAGTCGGCAGACTGTCCAGAATTCCCAACTTCTTTTAACAAGGCTGAATGATCCTAACGTGTCTGAAACAGCGCCAGACCATGCAAAGTGCAGACCGCAGCCAGTCTGTACGATGACGACTGGAGGGAGACGGCAGACTTTGGCACTATGGGCTCCGCAGATATTACGCCTTTAGATGTTGCTTTAGAACACCTAAATTTAAAAGACAGTGATAAAGTAAATGAGCCTCCACCACGTGCTCTTTGATGACATCCCAGTTCACAGACAATGTCCTCCGTGCTGTATTTGCCAATGAAAGAAGAACAACAGCTACCTTGGGTTTGTTTGGTGACTAATTTCAGGCCTGCCACTCTTGCTACATTGTGTCCAGTCAAAAGGGAGAGATAAAATATGTATGATAATCGCTTCCACTTAACTAATTTTTACTTCTAGCAGGTAAATGCAGGTAGCAGTGCAGGCTGATCTCTGCTTCCTGTACCTTGACATGCAAAAGGCTCCCCTAGTACTCCACATGCAAACTGAGAGGGCAACTGCAATCTCTAATGAGAATGCTGTGTGTAGTCATGAATATTAATGAATAAAAACTGCCTGGATGGTTCACCTTAAAAAAAAATTTCATGGGGACTCAAAAGGGCTCCCCTAAATGGAAATAGGAATTCAAAATGGACAGCTACAAATAGAGCCAAGATGACTAAAGACAGAGAAAGAAAGTCATGATTACAGACTTTGACCTTTACAACTCCTTAAAGGCAAAGAAAACATCAATTACGCTGTGGATTTTAGAAGCCTTAAGATGTGTCTTTCCTGAAATCTTTTCCCAAGTAAACAGCCTTCTAGAAAGCCAGTTACTACAACACTCCCAGCTAATAAGAAACAGTCTAGGCAAGACAAGTAGAGCTCAAAGGAAACCATACGCTCAGAGGCTTCTGATAGCAATGTATAATGAATGGAAAAGAACTGAGAGTCCAGAAATAAATCCTCACATTTGCAGTGAATTGATTCTGATAAGGGTGCCAAGAGAATTCGATGGCGGGCAGGGCAATAGCCTTTTTAAGACATGGTGCTGAGCAATCACATAAAGATACTTAAGTTGAATTTCATCAAAATTAAAAACTTTTGTGCTTCAAAGGTACTATCATGAAAGAAAAAGATAACCCACAGAACAGGAGAAAACATTTGTAGGTCATTTATCTGATAAGGATCTCGTATCCGGAATACATAAAGAATTATTACACCTTGACATTAAAAAGAGAAATAATCTCACTTAAAAATGGGCAAAGGATCTGAATAGACGTTTCTCCAGATAAGATACACATGGCCAATAAGCACATAAAAAGATGCTCAATATCATAAGTTATCAGGAAAATGTAAATTCAAATCACAGTGAGATACACTTTATACCCATGAGGATGGCTATAATAAAAAAGATAAGTGCTGGCAACAATGTGGAGAAATTGGAACACATACACTGCTAGTGGGAATGTAAGATGATGAAGCTGCTCTGGAAAATGGTCTTGCAGTTCCTTAAAAGGGTAGACATAGAGTTACCATATGACCCAGAAATTCCTAGTAGGTATATACCCAAGAGAATTAAAAATGTATGTCCACACAATACTTGCACACAAATGTTCATCAACTGATAAATGAACAAAATATAAATAAAATGTGTTATATCCATACAGTGAACTATTTGGTCACAAAAAGAAATGAAGTACTCAATGCAAGCTACAACATGGATACATTTTGAAAACGTGCTAAGTGAAAGAAACAAGTTACAAAAGACCACGTCCTATGTGATTTCTACGAAATGTCCAGAATAGGCAAACTTATAAGGAAAAAAGTAGATCAGCTGTTGCCTAGTACTGGAGGGGTTCAGG